AATCTTGGAATTTTTATCAGTGAGCCCTGCCTACCATTATTCCTTTGACATCCTAGCAAAACCCAACTATGTCCACCATTCTTCCTGTTAGTAGGTAATGGAACACAGACAACAATAGACATGAGCAGGAACTTACATGAAATTAGTAAAATTTTTTTTTTTTTTTGGTACTGGGCATCAAACTTGGGACCTTGTGCTTGCGAGGCAGGAGGCTGAACCACTGAGCTAAATCCCCGACCCCAAAATCAGTAAAATTTAATACAAAAATGATACGTGAATATATTTCTGATTTCCATGCATAATACTGAAAAATTTACTTAATGATATAGAGATGAAGGCCATTTTTCTTACTATTCTCCTCCTCCTTCTTCCTCTCCTCCCTTTCCTCTTTTCCTCTTTCCTCTTCCTTGTTTTTCTTTGCTGTGTATGTGTATTGGTGACCTAACCCAGGGCCTCACACACGCTAGGCACTGATCACATGCTCTACCACTGAGCTGTGCCCCTAACCTAAAGTCCACTTTTACTTAGACATTCCATTTACTGTTAACCATTCTTGCAAAAATCTGAACAAGTTGACATCTGTGTAGACATTAAAATGTGTTCAAAGGCCATGCATAATGAACTCAAGATGAGCCAGACAATCCAAAGACATTTGGAATGAAAGTGTGAAAGTTTTACCCAGGGCTCTGTGACTCTGACAAAGAATATAGCTGCTCTTCCAGTCAACAGTGTCAAATAAAAAGGATCTGAATCTTGATTCTTATAGATCTGAATTTCAGATAACCATAACAGTTGATGTTTAGGAAATTGAAACTCCATTTTTGTATTTACCGAAATTATTAATGTAGTCAAGGTTTCTTTACTTGTTTTCTTGATAAAGTATGGATCATCTTAGTGGATATCCCACTGAGTTGGTCTGAAAATGCTCTGAAAAATGGTGTGATTGCTCATAATACCTATTTTCAGTCATGGATTTCACTGTCAATGGATCACACTCCACATTTTGCAAAACCTAGGGAAGATAGACACTTGGGGGACATCTCTGTGGATTATAGATGATACCTGGTCGGTAACATTTTAATCTGCATTGGGTTGTGAAAAGGCCTTACAAAAAGAGCTGACACAGTTTATATTTAATTTGCTCTTTTAAAAGTCAAGAAGGACTACATGTAGGATTTGTATTAAATTAATGCTATCATTCACTTTGAATGAATTATGGAATATGTGAGAGATTTAGTAAATATATCAATAAATAGTTTAACATAAATCAAAGTTTAATTAAATATTTTTTCAACTAGATGCATATTATAAGGATCCTAATGTTTGCAATAATATAGATGAACATCATGCTACCTGAAATAGGCCAGACACAGAAAGATAAATATTTTATGGTCTCACTTATATATGAAATAAAAAGAAAGGAGAACCTCATAGAATAAGACTGGTTACCAAGCTCTAAGGAGTAGAGAAACAGGGAAATGTTGATTACAGGGTACAAATTTGCAACTAGTTATAAGATGTTACAGGAGACCTGTACTCACTGCAGATATAACTATAGGAAATAATAGTGTATTGATGTTAAAATTTGCTAAAGTAGATCTTACTGTTCTCACCAGGCACAGGTAACTGAGATGACAGATATATTAGTTAGCTTGGTTGTGGCAACCATTTCACAATGTGTACACATATCAAAACTACATTTTGTATACCTCAAGCAGAAACAATTTTATTTGTCAAGTATATATTAATAAAGCTGAAAAATATACTAATGCAATTAATTTTGAAAGGAAATATATTATAAAGATTATAGTTCTTTGAAAAACAGTAATATTTCAACTCAATTTTAACTAATGACCAGTAAAAGTTTATAGTGTGTTTTAGTTCCTTGAAATGTGCATTTGGAGAGTAAAGAAATTTCAAAGCATATAAAAACCACAGTGCCAAAAAAGAATAATAATAAAAATAGTATGCACAAAATAGCCTGCTAAAATGTTCAAAATATAAGAGCTTGTAATTACTAGTGAACATTTAGAATGTAAGCTAACAGAACATATTTGGAATACATTTATCTTTTTAAATTTTTGAAGGAGAGGTAAATGGCAAAATAAGATTTATTTTATCATTGAATACATTGTACTTTATGTTGAGCAACATATATTCATAAATTCTTGTAATTTTATTTTAATAAGCAAAAAATAGTGCCTCTTCAGCTAAGGCCAAATGAAGTTTCAAAATAGTAAAGTAATTCTTGTAAACATAACTTTGTCCTTCACAAAAAATATTGTGATTTTATTGAGGTGCAGCAAGAAAATTTATTTGCTTATATGATCCTCAGCATACATCTACTTTACAAATAATTGTGTAACCCTCTGCCTTGATAAAAACAGTGTCTTTCAATCAGTATGCTTAATAAATACAGTAGATAAACCAACTTATTTATAGAAAGTTTTAAAATATGTATACACATTAATTCCCTTGAATAGAAATTTCAATAGTATAAAAATGGTTTGGAGATTAAAGCATATAGGTGATAAACACATTGTGTTAAACCTACCCTTATGAGGATGTATCTTTTCACTCTAAAATAATATTTGAGAAATTTTGTCTCCTTTTCTTTTTTTTACCATGAGAAGCTTTAAATGTTAAGAACATGCTGTTCACTATTGAAGTAGGAAGCCTCATTTATGAATCAGAAAATGTATTCTATCTAAACATGTTTCTTTAATTCAGTGGATTTCAGATTTCAACATTAAAATATGTTATTATTGATGAGTAACAGTTTTATATTTTTGGCAAAGCCACTAGAGTTAGATTTTCTTTTTTTTGAGTCATATTTTTCTAGAAATTTAAGTTTTAATTATTTTCAACAAGCTACAATTAGAGATATAAATTTTATTTTGCCAAAACCATTTCAGGTATAATTAAAATGGCATTCTGGGGTTCATATTTTTATTTAAAATAAACATGCAAATGCAAAAAAAGGCTAGTATAACCCAATTATGTGAAAGTCATTGTTTAATACTATAAAACTAGACATCTTACTCTTTTGTATAACATGTCCAGAAATAGATTCCTACATTTGTCTATACACATAAAGCTCATATTTTTAAATTTATATTGTTGAAGAGTTTGAAACATTAAAGAGAAAGTTAAGTATTTTTTTTCTGGCTGTGTAAGGTACTGAAAAATGATTTACTGTCATACTTAATTAAGACAGAAGATTTTGTACACATAAACATAAGCATAGGCAAATTAACAGATATTCCTGAGGTAGAGAGTCTCATTGTTCCCCAGTATCAGTAGTGGCTGAGATGATTCTTTCACTCCTTGCATTTACACAGCTTAGATCTGCATTCTGTTATTATTTTTCACAAGTAAAAACAAATATATTTGACATTGCAACCAAATAATAACACATTCAGAAACACCACACAGTTGAAGGGGAATGTGTGTGTGGAGGTTAGCATGTGCATATTTATGTGTGTTTGTGTGCATATGATTAAAACAAAATTTCAGAGAACAATATGTATCACATATACTCTAGCAGTTTGTATTTTATTATATGCCATTCTGTTACATTAAAAAATGTATTCCCTAACTCATGTAATTGATTTCGTTATCCTGCAACGATCTGCAACCAATAGCTGGAAAAACACAGGCTAAGATAATGGAAGCATAAATTACATAAAACCTAAAAGAAATGTCTTTCTACTCCTACCACTACAGTATCATGCCATCTAAAGTCACCATGGCAATGTGTTACTTAAACCATGCATAGGTCAACACCAAAGCAAAACGGTGTTTCTGTCATTTAGAGAAGAATTATATGAATTTCATGCATCCAGGATTACTTGAATTACTAATATAAAAGTATACATAAAGTACATCGTATTTGATAAAGGATACTAAACCTTGGATGGGACATAAATCTTAAACAAATGGCATTCTTCTGGGACTTTGGTAAATACTGTCTAAATTTATCTGGACTAATATATTCATGATTTAACCCAGAAAATGACAAAATTATGAAATAAGACTTGACTTTGAGATCTAATATTATTAGGGATGTATAACATTCTCCAGGAAATATAAAGTGAACAATGTTTAAAATAACACATGAATACCATCTGCTGTGTAACCGAATGAAAAAATATACATGTATCAAGCTTTTTTGAGAATAGAAATGCTAAAAATATAAATTTTAAAAATAAGAAGAGAGATGGCATACTCAGCATGGACCAGAAAAAACTTCTGAATATGCATTTTCTCATAACTTCTCTGAGACAGGGTCTCCCTGTATAGTTTAAGGCTAGCCTTGAACTTACTATGTAGCCCAGGCTGGCCTCGAACTGATGGTAATCCGCCTGCCTCTGCTTCCTAACTGCTGGGTTTATAGGATGCACCACTTGCCACTATGACCAGCAAATTTTCTCATAATCTTAACTCTGATAATCACTTGAATATTTTACATTTTCAAAATTAAAAACAAAAAGGCATATATGTATGCAAGATAAAGCAAATCAGTGTTTATATGAAGATTCTTAGAAGCCAAGATTTTAATGTAATTTATTAGTATTAAGTCAGAAGATTAACGAGTTAAAGTCTCAGTAATGTTAAATTGGATTTCAAAATAACAAACTGAGCTCTTTCCCCTAAACATATATACAGGAATCTCTTGCTTAAAATCAGTAATCTATTTTCAAAACCATACATTGGGCTGGGGATTTAGCTCAGTGGTTTCACCTCCTGTGGCACAATTTCAAGGACTCAAGTTCGATCCCTGGTACAAAAAAAAAATACATTGCATATATTGCAAGCATGTTTTTATTATTTTAAATGAGAAAAATTACAATGAAGTGTAGGCAAACCCCAAACCTAGCCTATTTCCTACAAAATTACACACACAATAATGTCCATAGAAAAGTAACAGAATATCTTTTGTGTGTGTGTGTGGGTTTTTTTTTTTGGTACCAGGGATCGAACTTGGGTCCTTGCGCTTGTAAGGCAAGCGACAGAACCACTGAGCTAAATCCCCGGCCCAAGAATATCTTGATAGGATCTAAAATGCTTAAACATTGCTTTGTGATCATTCAGCAGTTATTACTGTTATTAACATACAGTTGGTTGTATGTAGTTACATGCCCTGTTTGCATGCTATATGAGAAGCTGTTTATGGTTTGATGTAGCAAATAGCACAGCAATAAAATGTCATAATTAAATTAAATTCAACAAAACATCCAGCACTAGATTTTGTTTTTCACTAAGCTAAAGGAGACATGACACTTGGAGATTAAAGCAGATGGTGATGGAGTGGCTGGCCACAGGAAAGTTTTAGAAGAATGCATAGAGGTGCTGTGGGACTTGGAGCTGCCGTCGGGACAGCTGGACAGGAGAGCTTTGATAAATCCTCGGAGATGGTGTTCAAACTGAAGGAAAGTGTAGCTGTGAAATGCAGATTTGCTTATTCTGTCAAAAATGTGTTCATATGATGAAAAACTCAGCTAATTTTACATAAATTTATCCATTTATTATAGACTAGGGATGTGTCAACTCATAGCGCTTCTCCTAGTTTTTCAGTTCCTTCAGTCTCCAGATGGCAGGCTTGACTTTGGCCACAGAAGTGGTTTCGTAGGTCCAGGCACCACCAGCCACTGTTTTCATGCAAGAAACACAGTGCCAGATCCCCACAGCCCGTCCCTGTGTCTCGATCTTGCCACAGAAGGAGCAGGTATACTTGGTGTGTTGGCTGATTTCAGTTTTCATCACTGTTTTCCACAAGGAAGCACCATAGTGGGTCCCATATTAACCAGCGATTTGATTCTGACCTTCTTGGTGCGTTTGGCCATGACAGTGCAATCCAGGCCCAAGCCCAGAGAGGATAATATTAGGGTGGGTTTTTTTGTTTTGTTTTGGGGGGTGGGGGTACCGGGGATCGAACTCAGGTCCTTGTGCTTGCGCAGCAGGAGGCGAAACCACTGAGCTAAATCCCTGGCTCATCAGGGTGTTTTTTTAAAAAAAGATGTGTCACTACATTGAGTATGACTTTGTGGAACTTTTCTTCCCAACATCCAAAGAACATGACTTGTTTACACTCAAACTCTTTTTAAAATGTCTACATGTGATCCTTACATTCTATCAAGTTGGAATGTAAATCAACTTTCTTCCCCCACATAACGTTTACAACATTGTATTGAGATGGAGAATTAGAAAGATGTACATAACTATTTTCATTTGATACCTACACCAAGATCCATTGAAAAATGAAGTTGTGAGAGATTTTTATTTTCTCTGTAAGTTATTAATAGCCAAAAATCTTTCTACTGGGTAGACATCAGTTAGGGAAACATTCTGTGGGATACACTGGCGTTTTCTAGTCTCCCCCCTGAAAAGATCTACCAGTAATGTAATCTGATTGCACTGGACACACTAATCCCAAATGATAACCTCTAAATATCATTTTTTAAAAATACCTTGAAGGAATAGTTGATTCCATGTGTGAAAAAAAAATAAACAAGATGAGTTTGTGTTTGTTCATCTCAGAAAACAGAGATGCAGCCAAACTGTAAGGTCCATGTATACAGGCATTAACACATGAAAGGGTCCCAATTAATTGATAGCAAAACAATAGGACCATTGGAAGAGTAATTGGTGTACCTAATTGAAAACTATATATTCATATTTTTTACTGAAGCAAATAAGGAATATTGGAAGGGAGGAAGATAGGAAGGGAAGAAAGAAAAAAAGAAGGGAAGGAGGGAGGGAGATATAAGGTGGGAAGAAAGGAAGGAATCAGAGATAGCAGATGGGAGAGAAAGAGTCAGATCAACACACCAAATGCTTTTTTGGTACTTTTTTTGTTGGAATAGAGAGTGGAAATTTCACATTAAGGGAGGCTTTACAGCCATGTAGATCTCTGTTTCATCAATATTTTTTAAAGCCAAAAATTTAAAGCAACTTAAATAGTTACCATGACAGATTAATACAACAAATGATGGTAATTCTTTTCACAGACTACTATACAGCCACTAAAAACAGTGGAGCAGAACTTTATGACAATATATGTAAAGGAACCTGTAATATTTTGTTTAGTGGCAAAAGGAAATTTAAGAGTAATACAAAAGGCTTTCTAATACTTTTCATAAGCTAAAACATTTTGTGCTTACAGAAGTAAATATATTTGCTTTAAAGAGATAAAAGTCCAGAGTCATGTAAGATCATATGACCAACAGTGGTCACTTCTAGACTTAGAATTTTACAGCAAATGTGGGTGGCTTGAGAGGGAACATTAACATTTCATTTACTATATTCTTATATATTTTAAAGCTTTCTCATGAGAAGCCAGACATACTGATTTGTAATACATATATGAGAAAGAGATGAGCACTTCTGTGCACCAGTTACATATTGCTTAATCCTACCTCTCTCTTCCAAAGATGTCAGGCTGCCAACAAGACTTGCCCCCCAAATTACGTGTGGAATAATCACATCTGCAGATGTCTGGCTCAAGAAGATTTTATGTTTTCCTCAAATGCTGGAGATGGTAAGTAGAATATTTTTTGCTCTATATATGTATATGGTCTATACATTTATTAGCACATATTTTGTGACTGTTGTACAATATTCAGAACATCATTATTTGAAATGCATGACTCCAAACAGGGCGTTTCTTGTTCCACATTGGTATTATGTTTAGCTTCGTCCTAAAGGAGCATACCTGTGTTGATATACAGTCTTTTAATGAAAAACATAAATAGAACAATGCTTTAAAATGCATTTGTTTCACACCACACCCAGAACAACGTAAGATACAGTGAAGATATGTTTGTCTCAACTCGACAGATGGATTCCATGACATCTGTGGACCGAACAAGGAGCTGGATGAGGAGAGCTGCCAGTGTGTTTGCAGAGGGGGCCTCCAGCCTTCCAGCTGTGGACCCCACAAAGAACTAGACAGGAAGTCATGCCAGTGTGTCTGTAAAAACAAACTTTTCCCCACCTCATGTGGCACCAACAGAGAATTTGATGAGAACACATGCCAGTGTGTGTGCAAAAGAACCTGCCCAAGAAATCAACCACTAAATCCTTCAAAATGTACCTGTGAATGTACAGAAAATCCACAGAAATGCTTGTTACAAGGAAAGAAATTCCAATATCAAACGTGCAGGTAAGGGATCTTTGCAATAGCATCAGTTTTTCTTATTGGAACTATAATCTTCTCAACCCAAAGCAGTTTTCTTAACCAAACTAGCAGTTGCTTATTAGAATGAGGCCAATAAGCTTAGGAAGAGAAACATGATATGTTTTAACAAATGCTAAACTTTAAGATTGGATTTGCTCCCAAAAAGCAAGATAGGAGTGTGGGGGACCAAAACCAGACCCATATTCAAGATAAAGTTCAAATCCTGTCCGAGAGGCTAAGGAAATAGTGTGCGATATGAGTTAGAGGACTTGTGTATTGTTTTCAAAACACATGCAAGCAATCCACACCTACCCTCACCAAAAATTATACTTTCAGATATAATTTAGGAGAAACTGTTTTAAGTACAGGCATTTCTAGTGTAAAATTCATGGATAAAGAATAAGATGATTTCGTTTACTGTTGGATGTTATGAAATATTTACACTAAGTATTTTGTAGAATTAGAGAAATAAGTCAATATGTTATCAAGGTTATATGGGACTCATTTCTTAAGCCTTGATTTTGTTCCTTCATCAAGGAAAAAGAGGTTATTGCACTCAAGGACTTTCAGTGTTATTCCCTGAATTTATTTCTCTTTTATCTCAGAAAAATCAGATGAACTACTACTATTTAAACAAGATTTGTGTTTTGGATTTTTTTTTTACCACATTCTTTCAATATTGCTCAACCAGTCATTCTTTCTTGCTTCTGTAACTATTATCTTCAACTTCATTTTTAAAATTCTCTAATTTCTTGCTTCATTAACATCTTAGTGCCAAGATCTGTCTTCCCCAGAGCTTCTCAGAAGCTAAGTGTGTGACACGGGCTTTCACCTTTCTCTCATCACCCATTTAGTCAGCCAGCTGTAGCCTGGTGTATGCCCTCTATGTGGAAGTTAGACATAAGCGTTAAGGAGCCTCTGAGTTGCCACCCAGTGGATAATTCTGACTTCATGCACCCTGACCTTTCTATCCTCTTTTTCTTTGCACTCTCCTCCTCTTTGTCTAACTCGAGATTGTACTTTACTGGTTGCTCACTGCATTTGCAGAACATTTGTTTTTAATCATTTTCACTGATTGTTTTCTTCCATGATCTTTTTAAATCTGGGTAGATAATATCCTTTTCAGCAGATAAAAGCATGTTTATTTATTGACAGTGTAGTATTCCCAGTAGTGTTCAGCAGTATATACTGAGGTAAGTAGAGGCTATTACTGTGTGCTCTCAATTTAATTTCTATTTCTGAAGGTCTGTCTGCCCTAGCATTTTAGTCACTGTAAAAGTCCATAATGAATCTCACTGATTATAATTTTTCTTCCTTTGTTGTTGCAGAGTACCTTATAGAAATCATTATATGTCCTATTTAGAATATTTGAGCAATAATTATGCTCCACATTTTAATTGCATATTCCTATACCAATTACCAAAAGGCTAGCTACAAAAATATATTTTGGAGCTAGACTTGGTGGTGCATGCCTATAATCCCAACACTTGGGAGGCTGAGATAGAAGGTTCGCCGTGAATTCAAGGCCAGCCTAGGCTTCATAGTGAATTCAAGGCCACCCTAAACTACATAGAGAGACGCTGTTTCAAAAAACCAAAATACACACACACACACACACACACACACACACACACTCTTCTTCATCCAGAAGGCTATAGATACCAAATCTTACTAAACCTAGTAAAACCACTTTCTATGTTGAATCTTTCTTGAGTCTAGTGCACAGTAAAAACTCAAAAATATTTATATCTGCCCTCAGACTAACCAGCCATAGAATTCTCTTTTTTCTTTCAGTGATGGAAATAGCACACAGCTTTGCACATGCTAGGCAAGCACTCTTCCACTGAACTACATAGCCCGCCCTCACAGAATTAATTAATTTATTGATTGATTGATTTTTAGCATATGTTTTCAGTCTGTAATTATTACATTTATTATAGGGAGTTAGAAAATATTTCTATCATTGTATTTATCTTAATAGAATACATTCTTTCATAAAGACTTTCTGTTTACTGCGTCTCTTTATATGTACACTCTACTAAGTGTGTAGTTCTAGATTTTCTGATATCAACTGGAGCAAAAAACCCCTGATATTTTGAAAACATACACTTTTCTCATTTTCTCTTGATATTTGTTCCATACTTGTGGAGGGCAATATTCTTTTGTCCACTGCTTTCATCAGCAACTTCCATTGATCTTTGAGATGGTATCCCTTTTGAATAAAGAAATACTTGTGGTCTTATAATTATGAATTTCTATGCAAGAGGATTTTTTAAACACTAACTAGATATACTTCCTTTTCTAGAGAGAAAGAAATGAAATTCAAAACCAAATGTAGGGGGTTTTTTAGTGCACTTTTGATTTCAACCTCAAGCCATCTTGAGTTTTTTTCCTGTACCCCCATTTCATGTGTTAGGCTTGTTAATACTCCAAAAAGATCTTCAAAGATAGTACCAGTTCACTGAAATAACAGGATATAACAGGGCTGTGCCCTATTGGAAATTCATCCTGTTACTGCTGCTAGAAGTTGGAAGTCTAGATTGGAAGGAGAGGGATCCTCAAAGATGAACATTGTTCCTCTCCCTCTGCCCAGACCCATCTGTTTCACAGGAAGTCCAAGTGGAGAAGGAAGAGTCAGCTACTATCATGCAACCAGCTGTCAAGTAGAAATACAAGAGTGAGGGTAGGGCTGCTCATTGAGGACCACAGTCTTGCCAGGATGGCTGGTTTTAATTGCTTGAAAGTCTGGGTCCCATACATGTCCCACACTCTTTTTAATTCTGCCATGCTTATGTGATCACAGAAAATCAGCAGACCTTAAATATTCACTTTCAAAAATTCTGTTGTATGTTACTTTCATCCACAAACCAGAAAGCCCTTCAAAAGAACTAATGATTACAATATCCCATCGTCTCCATTTGGTGTATCAGCAAGCAAGGCATGTTTTTAAAGGCCGTTCCATTCCTCCAAAATATTATAATTTTAAGCACAAACCTAAGTATTTATAAAACTACAATTTTATGATAAACTGATATTTTTTCTAGTTTAAATGTAGAAAAATGTAAAAGTACATTAGCAGCATACTGAACTCACTGCCTTGGTCTTTAACAGATGTGTTCCTCTTTGTTTTCCTAGTTGTTACAGACGACCATGTACAAATCGACTGAGGCATTGCGATCAGGGACTTTCATTTAGTGAAGAAGTATGTCGCTGTGTCCCTTCATATTGGAAACGACCACATGTGAACTAAGATTGTACTATTTTCCAGTTTATCGTTTTTCTACCATGAAAAACTGTTACCACATTAGAACTGTCTATGAACAGAGAGACCTTGTGGGACCATGGTAACAAAGACAAAAATCTGTTTTTTTCTGAACCGTGTGGATAATTTTACAGAAATGGACTGGAGCTCAACTGTAAAATGCTTCTTTTAAAGACTGGTTTTGTGCCAATGACCAAACAGCTGAGAGTCTGAGATTTTTTTAAAAAGAAAGAATGACTATATAATTTATTTCCACTAAAGATATTGTTTCCGCATTCATTTTTATAGCAATAACAATTGGTAAAGTTCACAGTGATCAATATTTTTATAACATGCAAATATGTTTAAAATAAAATTAAAATTGTATTATAAACTGGTAAGTTCAGTCTATTACCATCTTGCATTATAAGCAAAAACTGATATTATGAAACATTGATCTCCTCCTTCCTTTTTCCTTTTTCTTTAACCAGGTGTCAGATTTTGATGGCTATGAAAAGAAAAATCTAAAAGGAAGTTAAGAAGGACAACAGTATGCTATTTCATTTTGATTAAATTTATCTCAGTATATTTAATGATTATAAATATTGTAGCACATGATACTTTGGAATTTGTCACCAAATGAATCCATGCAGAGCATCTTATGAAACAGTCCACTTAGCATGTCCATCTGATAGAAAGTTGTTCAGTGCGCTAGAAGCATTCAGACTCTTCACTGGGTATAGAATCCTTCAGTATGCATTGAAATGGCTTTAAAATATTTTCTCAAAAATAATCTTTTCCAAATATGTAATTTCTTTTGACCAGCTAATATATTTTTGAAAGCTAAAGTCCTCCTTCCCAATACTTTTAAAATAAACTTGAAATAATATTTATATTCTCATATATTTTTAAAATGAAACATTTCAGCCATACAACTGAAGTGCATGTTTCGGGAGTTTTTGTATTTTTGTTGTTGTTGTTTTATTTTTGCAGTGCTGAGGATGTGCTTTACCACAAGCTATATTCAAAACCCCAATGTTTTACTTTTTAAAAGGACAGCATACTAAAATACTGCTCTTTATGAACAGACATTTTGCCTACATGAATAAAATCAAGCAAATGACTTGTTGTTGACAGAACATTCATTGTATAATAGTGTGACATAGGTTCTGTATATAAATAATTAGCCTTGAAAGGAGAAAATATTCAATACAAGTCATATATAGATAGCCTCTAGAAAGTGGCAAGTTTAATATACCAGAAACCTGTAATTAGTATAGAGGGCTACTCATTATAATATTATAAATGTTTAATATGTATAGAGGACTAATCAATATATATAAGCAATATAAATATTAGTATGGATGTTCTTCTATAATTTTTTTCAAAATATATAATTAGACTATAAATGCCCTAAAAACACCCTCAGCATTTTCAGTATTTACTTTTAAAACAGATTTTACAAGCAGTGTTTACTGAATTTCAATTATGTGCTCAGTACAACATTAGCATCTACTTTATGAAGTCATATGTTTCTCATATATTAGAAAATAAAATGAAAACAGTCTTTCAGAATTCTTTCATTATACACTTAAACACTATCTTCCAATGTTTCAGCAAAGATTAATTTGAAGCCTCTAAGCAGACAAAATATGCATTGTACATTCTATATTCTGGGCAGGTTTGGGTTGTTTTCAAGTTTGAGAAAAAAAGAGGAAGGGAGGGAGAAAAGAAGGAAAATGAACTCGATAACAGCTAGATTTCTGTAAAGTTCTTCAAAAGATCAAATTCTGGGGTGATTGCAGAAGGGAAACTGGAATCAAAATAACCTATCATCATCTGATGAAGAGGCATAAAAAGGTCATCATCTTTGAAACTCAGTAAAGATTCAATGCAATAATTCTTCATCTCATTTAAGCCAAAAATGAAAGCAAACACACTTTATGTAATCTGTTAGTGTAACAATCATTTTTACGTTTGATACATTTCAAATATAGATTTAAAGTTAATTTTAGAAAAATAATCTAAGCTTCCTGGGCCCATACAAAGAACATTAGGAACTGATACCATGACTGTTACATGTTAGATTAAAAAACAATCTAAACTGTATTTCTCAAATGTAAGGGCAAGCCAAAAAAAAAAAAAAAAAATCAATAGACCAAAAATAAAAGCCATAAACATGCTAGGAAAACTACATTTAAATTTGTTCCTGGAGGTGTAATGTATTTTATTTAAAATCAAGAATAGTATGGACAAAGATAGTATATTGCCAAAGATACTTGAAAACAATTTTATGTGGACTATAAAAATCCCACTTCAACACATTATAATGAATGAGTTTTTTATTTGTTTGTTTGTTTTGTAGCCAGTTAAGATGACTAGAGATAAAGCTAAACAGTTATTTGGAATATCAGCAAATGTGATTCAGCAAAAACTAAAATTACAGTAAGACTATGCATAAACTCTGCAAAGGAGTCCCAAGATACTCATACTATTAATCCAAAGAAAGAAGTTGAGAAAATACTGGAAGCTCGCAGCAGCAGTTAATATGTCCAAATGCTAGAAAGTTTATAAACAAAATTTTATGTCCAGAAACCTAATACTGTATAGTCAGTTGAAAAGGCTAAAGGAAAAAAAATGTTTTGGTAAGCAGTTATATAAGATTTGACATTTACTAACTGCCTGCGTGAAATAGATTCCATTATTAGAATTTTTAAAAACAGTCCTTCCCTCATATTTGCATTACTCAGAACAGAAGCTTGAGTGGTGTCAATATAAGACTGAATTCTCCCAGAGTGCACTTTAAGGGATGGAGCAAAGGCCATGAACTTACACATATGCGCTTTAGGCTTCCTCTGCAGATGCCCTGCCCCTGAACCAGTCTCACTCAGGGGGAGAGAGAAGAGGCAGACACGTCAGGTGAGAGAGTTCATATTGCAGTCATTGTTTTAACATGTTGCCAAAGCTTATGAAACTCCTTGCCTGTGTAAGTTCCCATGTTCCCCGGTCTAGGCAGTGCCAGGATAGGAGTGAACAAAGGTCTCTTGGCTCAGGCTTGTTTATATTACTGTGCTATCCCCAAGGTTCCCTTAGCAGGGTGAGCAAAGGATACCTTTTGAGGTATCTTGATTTTTATATAGTAGATAAATTCTACTTCTTCTAGAAATTCTTCTATAGTAGAATAGTTCTCAATAAACTCATTATTTTATGCTAAAAATGCATTATAGTATTCCCAAAAAACAATTTGAGGAAGTAAAGTGATACAAAATAGTTTAATTCTAATTTATCTGTTCAACTGATGAAATTTTTGCCATCCTGCTTATTTTTAAAGTGGGAAGTAACTATCTGTGGACAAACAGAAATGTAAACAAAGGTTTCCTATGGACTTCTTATTCCAGAGCTAAAAACTCACTGTGTAAAGAAGCATACTAAACAGGATGATCCAGTCTAACTGAGCACTGGATTGGAATTCATAAATCAAATCTTTAGTCTTGACCTTTCTTCTGTGACCCTGAGCAAGTCACCAATACCCTGAGTCTCAGTTTGTTAATCTGTGAAAGGAGTTGGATTAAAACTGTGTATAAATCTTAGCTCTGATGTTAGAGTTTGTACTAAACAGACAGAAGTCAAAACCAGAGTGTTTTTAAGAACTTTGGGGATACATCATTGTTGAGATTGGTGACCTTATTTAGAGGAACTATTTTTCTTTTTTAAAGTGTCATACAAGAAGTTATAAATGAAAAAAAATCTCCCTTATACTGTCAGATCAAAGTCCAGTTTTTCCTGATTTTTTTAAATACTAAAGGTGGTCATATATGGGGGCTGAAAAAAAATGTAAAACATCGTGAAAAAAGAAAGAAACCACAAACATTAAGATTTCTTCTACAATTCTTCCAAAACTCAACAGATGCACATATACTGTACTTTATCCTGGAAAGGGCTTTGAAGTAGAAATTGATTTCTAATTGTTGTTACCATCTGGGATTCTGATGATAAGATGTGATTAAGTATTGAGCCCACATCACCAGGATCTGATATCTACAAATCTGTAAGCTCAGAGATCACAATGCTCAGATGCTGCTGTAGGCAAACCCATGAGGACTGTTTACACCACAGGCTTGAGCCATGGCTGTCCACACAGATGGCAATAACTTTTGATTTAATAGAAATAACTTTGAGACACTACTCAAAACTTCTTTAACATCTACTTAGTAATAAGTGTGCAAAAAGAATTCTAAATTATCTTAAACACAAATATTTAATTTTATAGATGTAATGTTGACAGGAAAATTTTTTTTCAGGAGATTTCAATACGTTATGACTTCATAACAATATGCTTAGTTTGCTGTTAAGTCATGCGGAATTTAATATTTTATCATTTGAAGGCAGCCATACCTCTCAGTTTTTTTAGAAAATTGATCTTGTTTATGGTCAAATTTATATATGTAGGTTCAGAAATTTCTTTGACAATGTTATTATACCCATAAAATGTAACACCAGCAAGTCAGTTTACAAAGAACCTCTTTTCCTTGGAATAAGTTACCACTGGAATATCTTTACCACTGGAATTTCACAGAGCATTCCCTCATGTGTGACAAATGGATCCTCTAAAACACCTTTTTCTTCACATAGTATATTTCCATTCCCTTATACCCTTCCCCCTTCACATGGCACTGCTTTTATCTCTATCTCCTACTCATTTTCTTTCTTTTCTTCCTCCACAATATTTTGGGAAACCATTGATGAATGATGTGCTATCACAGGAGGAGAAAGAATACCAGTATACAGGTGGGATTTTAGTATCTAAGATCAAACATTCCCATCTTGTTCTGGTTTTATCCTAGACATAAACTGACCAGCTGGTGTCCACTTTAGACAGCTTATCTTATTTGTGAGGATGCCTTTGAAGTTCGTGATCTTTGTAGAGCACAGAGTAAATAAAGAATCACAGACTTGCATTTCAGTTTTCTAATAAAAGACAAGATAGGAAAAAAGGAAGGAAAAGCAAGAACACTAGAATTTTGAGAAAAAAGTGAAGATGACTATGACTTTTTGGAACAGGGATTTTAAAAGTGTGGTGGAAACCTCTTGAAATACATTGAAACATTTCTGCAATCTGTGAGTAAGAAAGACAAAGGCGAGATTATATTCTCTCTTGAGTTTTTCATTAAAATATGGTATCCACTAAGTGAATCAGATAAATACTGTCATGGAAGATGAAAAATTCTGTGCTAAAAGTCCAAAATAAAGCATGGGAAGATATTTGACATGAAGTAATTTTAGTCTTTATTTGTGCACATGGGAATGTCACTTTATTCAAAGTCAAAAGAAAAAGTATGGGAAAACCTATATAGGTGAGAATTCAGGTTTTAAAAAAATAATGGAAATATCCATAGCGTTCCAAACCTCCCAAAGTACCCCTTAACTAACCTTTTCATAATAAAAAGGGTTGAATAATGTGCATAATTTACCAGAAAAACCAATAATGTTCCTAGTGTATTCACCAAAAAGTGATAAAATGGGCCTTATTTACCAGAAACAACAAATTTGCATTGTACTCACCATTAAAGTTGACATCTTTGGCTTCCAGGACGGGAGGATGAAATGGAAGGTGATTATTTTTTGAAAGGAGAGTTCCCTTACATAAGAACATCAGGAATTTGGTTCTCTGGTGTCCTATCTCTTCTTGGGTAAGTCTGTAGCCCACTGGGACCTGCTTCCAGCTCACTAGGTCTCAACCTTTTGAGACCTAAAAACTGGTCTAAGGTTGTCTGCTTCTGTCTGCTCTTTAACACTGCTCTGTAGTATGACATGACACTGTCATTAAGCAAGTGAATACGAATGGCTTTTTCTCCATCTGGGTGAGTCTTCTCTACAAACTTCTGTAGTTCTGTCCATTTTTTCAAGATTTCCTTTATTTCAGAACAAGAATTTTTCTGCATTGATTGTTGATACTTCCCCTCATCTTCAGAAAGATCCTCAGCTTCCATTCTCTGTTGCTCAGCCAGAAGTTGTTGAAGTTCCTCTGTAGAGAGTTCCCCTGGGCATTCCTCCACCAGTTCCTCAATATCACCACCGTCTACCTGCAAGCCTATGGACTCTGATATGGTGACAATGTGATCA